TCATACACCACTCATCAAACCACCACTCATCAAACCACCACTCATCAAACCACCACTCATCATACACCACTCATCATACACCTCTGGTGGGGGACACTGGGCGCGGATGATCGTGGTTGAGGGGTTGAGGTCTGGCAGGGAACACTGGGCTCCGGCAGAGAACGCTGGGCGTGGATGGTCGTGGTTGAGGTCCGGCAGGGAGCACTTGGCGTGGATGGTCGTGGTTGAGGTCCGGCGGAGGAGGCGGAGGAGGAGAAGGAGAAGGAGGAGAAGGAGAAGGAGGAGAAGGAGGAGATGGGGCTGATATAAAATCTAACGACCCTCACCGGACAGGTGGGGAAAAATGCCAGAAAGCGTGCCAGAAAGAATGTCAGAGGAGGTGCCAGAAAGAATGTCAGAAGACACGCCAGAAAGCGTGTCAGAAGAGATGCCAGAAAGCATGTCAGAAGAGACGCCAGAAACAACCTCAGAAGATATGCCAGAAAATGTCAGGAAGAATGTCGGAAGATATGCCAGAAAGGAATGCTGAAATTTGTCAGATTGAAATGTCACGGTGGAAAAACACTCGAAGTAAAGTAAAATTTCTTGGAGCCACTGCTTGAGCAGCTAGCCGTTGGTTGAGGCCTAACCAATTGTATCTGCATTTCGAGCAATTTCGAGCAATGTTTGGCTTATTGAACAGATCGCAGACAGACAGCCAAGGGGCCAACTTTCCATTAATAGTCACCAACCTTGGTGAACTTGCCACAGCATTTGCTCAACCGCTCATGCTCCATTGCTCCTTCTCCAAGAAATTGTCCGCCCTGAATGATATTGGAAACAGACATTGTAATGCTGATTGGTGCCCAAAGTATTCTTGCGAAAGTTTTTGGTGCATGGTACTTACGCGAGTCTAACCAGATGACTCTTTCAAACAGTTCCCTTTCTCAATGCCGACTTCAACAACGTGTTTTCTTTGCAACTATATAGTCGAAAGACGGCCGAAGAGGGCTGATGTGTCACTTGCCATGGCCGCCGTCTTGTCAGTGATTGGCGACGCCGGCCTTTTTGCGCATCAACCTGTCGCTTTTCACTTGACAATATAGCAATATAATTGCACCGTTCCCAGTGTGACTTGTTTGCTACCATGTAGCCTGACCGCGCGCGATTGAACATTCTCGTGATTCTTGTTTCTCGGGGCTGTATAATTTAGGTGGCCTGAGCATTAGAAGCAGCAGCAGCAGCAGCCGCCGCCGCCGCCGCAGCCGCAGCCGCAGCCGCAGCCGCAACAGCCACCGCCGCCGCCGCCGCTGCCGGGCAGCCGCAGCCACAGCCGCAGCAGCAGCAGCAGCAGCAGTAGCACCAGCAGCAGCAGTCACAGTTGCAGTCGCGCTCTCACTCGCAGTCGAGCATGGCTTGGGCTGCGCCCCTGTTTCCCACAAGCGAAATACAAGCGTAAGGCATAAGAGCGCAGTTGTGAACGCGGCAAAATTCAATGAAGAAGTGAGGTGCCCCGACTCTCACGACAAGTTGCCTTAAAGCACCCAACGGTACATTGGCAACAAGGAAAGTCTTTTCTCAACCCCTGACATACCTTGGTTGCCCTAGCTGCTTTTGAATGCCGTGGCGGGCCCGTAGCAGCTACAACCTTTGAAGGGAGCTTCCAAGATCCCCTCCACTGATACTTCATGTGCTTCCTGGCCGTAGTTCCCTCCGCCCACGGCGGCAAGCTGCCAGGCCATGTTGATGAGAGTATTGAGCAGCGTGCTTCCTTGCTCGCGGCTTTGAAAGTGCCTTGACAAGCAAAGTCCAGGTGAACGCACGCGCGCGCACACACACTGCCAGACAGACAGAGACAGAGACCGAGACAGACAGAGGAAGAGGCAGAGGTAGAGGGGCAGAGGGACAGAATGAGTTGTGTATTTACTGTATATATAATCAAGCATCAGGTTTGGAAGGCTTGGGTTTGCATTGTTCATCTCACGAATTACACTTATTCGTTTGAACGTTTTGGCTCAAGGTTCCTTTTGAGCCAAACTGGATTTGAAAGCCCACCCAGCCCACCCTGAAAAGTCGGCCTCTTGTTCCCTGAGGGTTGGGTGGGGTTCATCCTTTGAGAAGCGTCCCAGCGCAAATCCTGTGCGAACACAGGTTGACCAGCCATCGGTGAGAGGGACTCATTTGGATAAAGGAAGAAGCGCGGGTTCGGAGAAGCGTCGGAAGGGAGTAGCTCCTTTCTAAGAAGGTAGTTAGTTTGAGATGTATATATATATATACACATACATATTACATGTAAAGGATTATGCAGGGTGATGTGGTATGCTCATGCCAACCCCAGCAAGACCGAAGGCCTTCCCAAATGGCAGAGGGAGGAATCATTTTTGGTGAAACCGCGCAGTGGTGCGGTGAAACAATAGCTGTGCAGTGTGGTGGTTGTGGATGAGCTGTCATTCTTGTGCCATTTTGGCTCAAGAATGACAGCGCCGGTATCCCCCATGTTTGATTGCCATGTATCTTGAGATTGTCATTGCGGTGACGTTGATTGCTGGCTTTCTTCTGGGGTTGACCTTTGCCTGGTGCTGATGTGGTCAGCGCAAGGCACACGGGCCTTCCTTGGCCCCGGCGTTGATCGGTCCTGGTGATTTTCCAGGCTTGACTTATGGCAAAAATCTGGAACTTTGCGCTCAACCACATCACGGAAGGAAGGTGTTGATGCTGCCTCTTCTTTGTGCGCCGCTCTGACTGAGCTCTCCTGATTCCTGCCGTTTGCCCTTGTTGCCTCATGTCTTCACTTGTTTGGATGGGGTTTTAAAGGCCAGTGTCCTTGAAGACTTATAGCAGAGTAGTGGACAAATCCTTAGTGATTAGGTCAGTGATTTGCAGCTTTGCGGCCATCACTTCATCGTGAATTAGTTGTTTTTTAGCATCATGTCCAACAGTTTAACGGTGCCTAGTATTCGGATAACCAATCGCGCCAGTCCATGGGTTACTTTGGGCCTTCAAAAACATTTGTGCATGATACAGGCGCTTGCCTACCATACTGTCGGACCCACAGATTTCCTTTGGAACTTCTAGGTTGGGCCACGTGAGGAATCCCTCACTAACCCACTACAGCTTGTAGCGGGGCGCAATCCGGCGAGCCACCCAATCGGAAAAAAGGAAACGGACATGTGAGGCAGCCAGTTGGACGCAAAACAATGCAATCACATATATACATAACATTTGGCGAGTATGCCGGACGATCAGCCCCACTATGGCCAAAGAACCGGTTATTAGTTGGCTACCGCCCTTTGCAAAGCCTAATGTGCGCGAAGCACGGAGCTCGCACCACAGCAACATACACACCGGATTTTGGAGCTTAACTACTTGCCAAATTCTGAACGAATCCGACAGGCCAAGTTGGACGATGGCAAACGCCCGCAGCGCCAGTGTGGTCCTGTGATGCTTTGGTAAAGCACTGACGGACAAAGGAACTGCCGATGTGCTGCTTTGACTGGTAGTTGCGCGGAAGGAATTTTTAAGCTAGTAGCAGTAGCAAAGTCGTTTTGTGAGTGAACATTTTGAGCGGGTTTTGGCATGATACTCAGGAGAAGATGCTTTCTAGCCGGTATTGCAGTGCTACTAATGCAAAAACACTAGGACCCACCAACGGGTTGCAGTCTCGTAAACTTCTTGAGGTTGGTGGAAGATGAGCAGCCCTCGCTGTTGATGCTTGCTGAGGTGTTGCGTGCGTGGGGTATTGCTTTCGATCTCGCTTGTGGTGCAGTGGCCAGTGTAGTGTTGCCTGTGTTGCCTTAGTCACTTGCTATTACTGGTATTGTGGGACCTGGTTGTGCATATTCCACCAACAAAGCAGTTGAACAGATTGTTTCCTGTGACTTGAAAGGATTCTGGTGAAGCAGAAGCACAAGAAAGGGTGCCTCCAGCACCAGCAGCGTTTGACACTCATTTGAAAAGAACAACTCAAACAGCAGGCTTTCAACCTCATTCTTCAGGCCTGCGCCGCCAGTCATTGACGTGGACGAAGAGGACATGTCACATGTCCTTGTGTGTTGCGTTTGAGTCGTATCACTTTGACGGGTACTGTAATGAGGAGGCCACACGGACCAATTGCACCTTTAGCCATGCTGTGGTGCTTCGTGAGGGCCTGTGCAGTGGTACTAAACATAGGTCCAATTCGCGAATAATTAATCTATTCAACATTATTAAAGCCGCCCTTAGCATATCATCGGTCACAAGATGCTACGGCGGTGACACCTCTTTGCCCTACATCATTCGTTTTTGTGCAGCATTTCATCACCTCTTCGACTTTTTGACAGGCTTGTTCGCTTCCTCGGTTCAATTATAATCAATTAATACTATAAAAAAACAATATATATATATATAGACCTTGATTTGTTCTTTGTTCTTTTGAGGTCCAGCCCTTACGCATGAGTAATTTTAAACCTTGGAGCATTTTGGAGTTCCTCTAGCTGTGAACATTGCTGCAAGAGCCTTCGCCCGTGATCACACTGTGGCATCAAGTTTTGAGCTTGCTAAGCGTTTCTTGAATGTGCTTCAAGTTTGGTTTCTGGCGGCGGGAGTATCGAATCTGACAGTAACTTCTTTGGTTGAGTTACGGGTTACGCATGTTCGGTGGCTTCTCTAGCTTCCTCTTACCAGCATACTAGAACGTGCCAGCCTTTTCCTCCTTCAACTTGGCTGCGTCGAGATCCCAGTTATATAACATGGTGTGAGACTTGCGGGTAGTGTGTGATTGATCGGGGTCACCCGGACATCCATGCGCCCGGAGGGGAGAATATTTGAATAGCTGTGGCTTTGTTATTCATGCCTAACCAAAAGGCTGAGTGGGACACGGCTGAGGGCCAAGAGCGTGCTTTTTCCCATCAGGCAAGGTCAAGAACACCTTCCGTCCAGCATAGGTGATGGTTCATCGGAATTTGTGAGTGTGTGCGGTTTGGAGCCATGGTTCTCGTGATCAGGGATGCCTGCACTGGCTTCGACACTTGTTTGCTGTCAAGGGCCTTTCGAACATTATACTGTATATATACTGTTTTAAAGTTTCCTAAACATCTAGGAACCAAATGAATAGCGTGAGCTATCCTGCGTCCATCCTAGTTTCTTAAGTAAGGTGCTAGCTTCCTCTCCCTTACTTAATCAAGCAGGCGCCTACTTAATTGGCGCCTGCTTAATTAAGTAGGGAGGGAGGGAGGAAGGGAGTGGGCTAAAAGAGTCAGGCTCCGATTTTAGTACCCCCATTAACCCCACTAGTTGCTTGTGTATGAGCTCGTGACCGAATGGACACTGGACAACGCTTTCCTGAAAGCTTTTGTTGCTTCTGTGGCTTTCGGCTTTCTTCACTTTTGGCTTGTTGTGGCTGTGGCTGTGCCAACGCCGACGACACTGACTGGGGGCGCGTTGGCTTTTGGCTTCGTGGCTTCTTGGCTTTTGGCTCTCTCTATGGTCCGCTCGTCTCTTGGTCCTTTGGTCCCTCGGTCCTCAGGTCCCTTCCTTGGTCCCCTGTTTCCTTGGTCCCCTGGTCTCCCTAACCCTGGGGCCACTCTCCCTTAAGAACCTTGTGGGCCCATCGAAAAACAACAGTTTGTTGCTTTCACAGCCCGGCGAGCGCAAGAAGTCAATGCCTTTCATTGTGCTGTTTGTGTCGCCTGGCTCTGCAGCGCATTTTTTTCCCTTTTGGTGGCTTCTGTGGCATGTGTGGCTTTCGGCTGGCGTTTGGGTGCGGGTTGGTTGGTTTGTTTTTTGTTGGCTTGCTTTTGGTTCTCATTGATATTGTTGCATTTCTACTGACTAGGTTTTGATAGCTTCTTTGTCCCCAATCAGTATTTACTATTGGGGCTCTCCCTTAGGAAAAAAGGGCTGGCCACGATAGCCGTGGCCGCCGTTCTCCCTTTCTTCACCGCTTGTCCGCACTGTCCGGGTCTTTGTGTGCTGCTTGGCCGCACCGTTGGCCCTGTCCAGGCCTTCTCAGGGTCTGTGTTCCTTGTCTTCTCCCCCTTGTCCAGGCCTTTTATATACAGACGTTTCCACCAACATTAGAATTTCAGGCGCTGCCAAGTCAAGTTAACCAAAGCAAAAAACACAACTGAACCACAGCCGAACTAAAGCCAAACCCGGGATCCTTCACAAACTACCCTCCTTAGATGGACAAGGGACCCTTTTTAAAGCTCAAGGAGCAACCTAGCAAAGCCCCAAAAAACAAACATATTCCAAAAAGGGAGCACAAAAGTTAAATACTAACATTGCAGCCCTTGTATTATGTGGACAAGGCTGCCGAGGTGCCCTGGTGACGCTGTTTGATATTTATGGTGGTAAAGCTGGACATGCTGTGAGGGCTACAGCGTAGCCAGAAAGGTTGGGTTTTGTCAGGCAGCCGACCCTTGCGCTTTCAATTGTCAAGAAATAAACGTAATGGATGGTAATGTGCGCATCAGAAGCCAGCAGTAATGTGCACTTGCAGCACAGGAACACCAAAGCTTCCGCGGAGGCAAAAACTGCCAATCTTCGAGTGGTGGGAAAAGGCTAAACCACAATCGACAAAGGTCTATAGGTGAAAGCTGTGTGAGGCCTTATTACTTCGCAAACAGGTGAACATGTACGGCGCGGGCTACATGGATGAATCTAGACGACTACTTGTCAGCGACGCCAACTGCTTCTGTTGTGTGGCGACTGTTTGGACGTTGTGACTCCCATGTTGTACAGCATGAAGGCAACGAGAAAAGGTCCCGTAGCATGGAGAGGAATTCGTGGCAGCTCAGTTGTGAAGGACCCAACCCCGACTGACGGGGCTGGCGATCCCTTTTCAGATGTCATGGCGCAACTTGCACGGGCCTTGCTGATGTGGGTTGGCCAGTAGATCTTCAGTTGCGTTGTTTTGGACCATTCTTTGCGCAGTAAAGTGTGCCAGTCCATGTGGTTGCCTCGCGCCTAGGATAGAGGCTTGGACGCCCGCCAGCAAATGATTGATGCGCTTAAGGCGCAGCTCAACAAGCCAGATGCCCAAGATGACGTGGGCAGGAAGAATGAAACGCTGAAAACGCTTGTTTTTTTTAAACGCTGCATTTCGAGAAATTCAAAACCCGAAACGTTTGTGTCTCTCAGATGTTGGCAGCAGGCCCTGGACGCAGAAGGGGCCACAAATCCGTTGTTTCAGTGACGCCCCTGATTCGCTAGAGCCCAGAACTTTGCAGGCATGCACCATAGCCTGCCTGCCTTGTCATTTTCAGTCCACCCCAAGTGCCTTTTCTGTGGGATGATCGCGTCGAGCAGCAACATTGACTGCCACCTTTCCTTCGCTCATGTACCTTGCATCTCTGCAAGCAAACAAACAACACTACTCTGCTAACAAATTCAAATTCTCCACACCACGCCAAACGTATATAGCAACAACCAAACATCAGACTGTAAACAAGTATATAGCGTGAACAAGCGGACCAAGCAGCAAGAATGAACATTTGTTGCTACAGCTGCAGAGAGCAGTCGTGTGTGCCAAGCCTCATCAACCTTGTATATGGTGACTCAACTGCAAGTATCACATATTTGCTGCCATCCATCAGGTCTGTTGCCGGCCCAAAGTCCAAGCCAGCAATGTCGATCCAAAAGGCAGGGACCTGTGATGCATTTTTTTGCATTTTGGTGACAGATTAACGGAATCAATCCTATTGCTGCTCATTGTTTGCCCGGTAGATTGGTTTGAGGCAGTGTCGAAGCCGGCTGCAGTGAGCTTGCACAGTTCCTTGCTGACGGGCATCCCGCCTTCTCCACCTGCGCTGGCCAATGCGCTCGCTGCAACCGGTTTACCGCCAGGCCAACCTGGTTTGCAACCCGGGATGGTTCCGCCGATTCTTCCTTCGGCTCCAATGACACCGGCCACACTGTGTGCGGTGACACCATGTGCGGTGGCACCAATGGGGAGTATATCGCCAATAGCAGGAGCGCTTTGAGATGTTTTGAGTTTCATGCCAACATGGAGAGCCAGCGCAGCAAGGGCTTTAGTCCACAAGGTTGGCGAGCTTTGCACCGCGTCGCTTGACTTGTCGACACACGTTTTCTGTGTATATTTAACACTGTAGAGCTTCAGGCCTCGCACACCAGCGATGCCATAAGAGTCACTGAATCTGTTGTCGGCGGGAGTCTTGCAAAACAGGGTTGCAAACACGACTTGGTCTTTCTCCCAGATCCTGTTCTTCATGTTCTTCTTCCTGTTCGTCGTCGCCGTCGCCGTCGCCGTCGCCGTCGCCGTCGCCGTCGCCGTCGCCGTCGCCGCCGCCGGCGCCGTCGTCGTCGTCGTCGTGGTGGTGGTGGTGGTGGTGGTGGTGAGCCTCTTCACCCAAGGGCGCTTACTCTAGGATTGCCCTAACGATGCCTCGGTTCGCTCTTGCGCATGAGCCCCTGCTGCTTGGTGGCCGGCAGCACTTGGGAGCATCCTGCAGACCATGAACATCTTTGAGTTTGGACTGCTGAGCTCCCTTGGACTGCATTGCATGTTAGTTTATGAGGGCCCCCTTTCACTGGATCATCGTTCTCCGTGGCTGGCCGCGGCTCCAACTACACCATCTTTGATAGAGCTTTATGACGTCTTTCATGCGGTGGTGCGGGTTGTCGGCAGGTGGTGACATGGATTGAAGCAGCCACTTTTCTCGTTCAGCGCGCAAAAAGTAACCCTGCTGCAAATATACACGAACGGGAGTGTGCGGGGCTTTGACTGCTCAGGAATGGCGTCTTGGCCTCGAAAGTTGGCGCCCGCTCGCGCAATCCGGCTGACGAGGAAAACTTCAGGTGATCTCCAACTCGATCTTCTCGCATCCTCGTTAAGTTCAAACAATCTTTCGGTTCTCCGCTCAAATTGGATGGCGTGAAATCATTGCAGGCAGAATGCTTCACGTTCGTATTTTCATTCTGCCTGACAGACCATTGCGTGTTTGCGCGCCTACGAACGAACGCGTTCAAGAAGCACAGTGCAGTTCCATTGGGCTGTGGGCAGATTGCCTAGACGCAATCAATTCATCCTGGCCGGTGATTATACTCCACTCTACAGTGACTTTCGGCTCCCCCCTGATCTGACATCCTGCAGTGTCATGACCTGAACGCTTTGAGCGCACGGCGAGCTGATGCAGGGCCATTCGAAACCTGCTGGCCCACCTTCACGCCCCCAATCAGCCATGGGTCTTGTGCGCGCAAGCTTATGTCCTTTCTTTGATAGGTTCCATCCCCTCAAATGGAAACCCCATCAAGGACGCAAAACTTTGTAAGAAACCTGATAAAGCCAGCGATCTCCGACCGCTAGCACTGCAGGAAGGAAAGGGCAAGGCCGTCCAAAAAGCTTTGGATACACATATTGTAAGTACCCAGCTGCGAGGATGTCGTTGCGAAAGCAGCCGAAAATTTGCAATGCCGTCGTAACGATGGTTGAGCAATACCGACATCCATTGAGAGCTGTTGACCTGGCACAAAAACAGCCCTGAAGGTGCGTGGAGGCATTACATTGAGCATCGATCTGCAACAGGCCTTTAGCTTAGAGGCGTAGGGCAAAAATTGCAGATGGTGTTCCCTTTTGATCCCTGCTTCTGCAATGAGTGGTGTGTAAACACTCGAGATCACGTGTGCTTCACTGTGTTTCAATCATGCCAGCTTGCGCGGAACACCGGCATGGAGTGACGCTCCAGGCTTCAACGCTCTACGCGGATGACGTTCTGCGCAGGTCAGGTTCGAAACCGATCAAGAGTGTCGAGAGCACTTTGAATCAAGTGGGAGCTTTGCTGTTCAAAAGGCAGCTGCAGTGTTCTCCACCCATGGGCAGAACATGTGACATAAACCTGCTTCAGAGTCAGATTGTCCAGGACTACCGCTGGATGTTCTTTGCGGAACGCCAGAAGGCACCAATGCACCAACCTCCCACTTTGGATTGACTGAACTCATCCTGTTGTTATTTGGGAGTTCAACTTTCCTACCGCGATCCGGCGCAAGAGACGTTGACGCATCGACTCAAAGTTGGTGCCCTGGCTTCAAAGAAAACGAGGTCTTTCATTCGAGCGCAAGCTGGCCCTGTGGAAAGCAGTGGTTCGAACGGCGATGGTTTATGGAACTTTCATCCAGCTGATCCGGACCTTGACATTGATGCAGCGGTTGACAGTGCATGATCATTCGCGTACCACACATTACACATAGAATCATAGAAGCGTTCTTCACTAAACACCCACTTGGCGCACGCGTCCGGGACGTCTGCTTGGCCCCTCAAGACCGTCTTGCGCTGGCCGCTTTGCGTGTCCTTTGTCCTCAGCGGTTTTGACTCGCCATGCGCATCAAGCCCATGCTCACACACATTGATGACCTGCTACCTTCAGGTACGCTCGCGCCGCTGCCGAGGGAGGGCCTTGCGCGTGATGCTCGCTGTGCTGCTGAACTCCGATCTTAGAAGAAGCCTCAGAAGCTGATGTGGAACAAGGATTGCGTTCTTAGTTCACGCCGAATCAGGTTCACCCCCTTACGCATGAATCATGGTGTGATTGGTTGCATCACCGCTACACTCACAGTGGGAAAATTTTGCACAACCGTCGGGTTGCCCAACAACATTTGCAGTTGGACAGCTCTGTGTTTACGACTCTTGCTTTATCCCTTTTTGATCAATGGTCCGGCCCACCGCCTGAAGCCCTGCAAACGTGCAAAGTTTCATACAAAATACAAACAGTCTCATCCTTGCATGGTCTTGTCGCTTTTCGTGGGCCGCTTCGACGGACCTGCGCCTGGAAGAAACCAGTTCAGTGACCGAGCCTTCTTCGAGGCGTCCGCTGTCGTTGGCAAGCAACCGCTGCGATCCAATCCCACCGTTGGGTAGTGAAAGACCCTCCACGGACTCGACCGCTTGCAGAGTGGATCTCATCTTGGACCTTGTCGAGTGCTGCAGTCAGCGCCAGAACCTTTCAAATGCCCCCCAAGGTTGGTGGAGCATCAACAGCAGATGCGTGGTGACCTTGTTGCAAAAAGCACCGAACTTCTTGCGCAGCCAGTGAAAGTGAAAGCCAAAGAGCCTGAGACACTGCCTTCTTCCCTGCGTGGAGAAAACCTGCGACTTATCGCTTCGATGGGTCTTGAACACTGGAACACCAAGCACAGGCACCACTCCATTTCGGGATTTGAGGTTGTCGGATTGCTTAACTTACCTAAAGCCTGTTTTCTCAGGCTTTCATACCTAGGTAAACGTTTGTGGCATTCAAGTCAGTACGCGTGTCCTAAGTGTGTCTCGCCCAGGGTGTACCCGAGGAGCGTCCCCTGTGGCCCCGTCGAACGGGGGTTTGTCCAACGTGTCCATTGCCCGGAGACAGAGCAGTCCGCAGCGGACGGAGTAGGCTTGCGCCAAACCTATTTGCCAAGGCTTGCTGAAGTATTGAAAGCATTGAATACAAGTAGGCAGTCTTCGGACACGCCATGAGGTGACCGCAGCGCCGCTCACTCGCCCCATCGCCCCCTCGCTCCCTCGCACGCGCTCACACGCGCTCGCGCGCTCGCGCCCTCACTCCCTTGCCACAGGATACGAAGTAGACCGCTTTAAAGATCTGATTGTCGCGCGTGGAAGTGACGCGCGGGATTTGCTCAAAGTGACCTCATTGGTGGCATTTTGACGAGGAGAGCCACCTGCAAAGCGCATCAGACGAGAAGGCAGTTTCCTTCAGAACCATTCATTGACTTGCGTGTTCCGATCCAGTAGCAGGTGTTCCTTTGCCACTGCGAGCTCTTCAAGCGCAGGCGGAGTGACGGAGTGTGGAGTTTGCGGGAAGAATGGATTGGAAAGGTTACAGTAGTCTAAAACTTAAGGAGAAAAACCAAAACGAAACGTCTAAGGAAGGACAAAAACTCATCATACAGCCTGCTGTTATGTTTGCGTGTTTTGTTGAGAGGATTTCACAGCCAAACAAGCAGAGCAAGCTGCGCTCGCAGCAAGGACGGGAGGTAAAAAGTCGAAAGCGCCAAAGTTTGTGTGGACTGGTGAAAGAATATTGAAGCAGAACCATCGCATCCCACCACCATCAACCAACATGGCCAGACTTCAGGCGCAGGAATCTACTTGTGTGTCCATCTGCGTGGGATGTTTTTCAAAAATTGCACCTTTTTCCCCAGAGCAGGCTATACAAACTCTAACTTCTCCATGGTGTAGCTCTGGATCGGCTTCTTTGTTTTCCAGGTGCTCTGTGCTGATGCTAGCGCAGGCGCTGGCTCTGGATTAGTTTTGGTTTTGCAGGCGCTGCTGCCGTGCTGATGCTGGTGCAGGTGCAGGTGCTGGCTCTGG